ATTCTTCTCGGATGTCACCTCCTTTGAGAATGTCTCCTCCACCTGCAGCCACCTTGTGGAAACAGCCTTTCCATCACCCTCTCTCTTCTGGCTCCTTGCTCTGGTTCTCTCCATCCATCCTTCACCCTCCCATTCATCTGGCTTCCATCTATTCATTTGTTCATTCATTCACTCAACAAATAGTCAATGAGGCCAGGCACAGTTGCTCTCACCTGTAATCCCAACGCTTTGGAAGAAACTCTTTGTTTCTTTTTTTTTTTTTTTTTTTCCAAACAGAGTTTCACTCTTACTGCCCAGGCTGGAGTGCAATGGTGCGATCTCGACTCACTGCAATCTCTGCCTCCCAGGTTCAAGAGATTCTCCAAAAGCAGCTTTTATGATAGGGCTGGTGTGAGGATTAATGAGTCATTGAATTTAAAATGCTTAGAAGAATGCTTGGCACATAATAAGGATTCACTATTTTTATTCTATCTATTTTCTGGGGATCTTGTTTTTCACCAAGGTCAGCCTTAAATCTCGAAAAAGCAGCCTCCCCTGCCTTGGGAGTGACCACCTATGTCTGGACAATCCACCACCTTGCCAGCCCCTCCACCCACATACAGACTGCTCTAGATTTATTCAGGGCAAAACATCTACAAAAGCTCTGCATCTATTCAGCTCGTGTGTCCTCAGAGCCGCTCAATCATTCCAGCTTCAGAAAAACAATTTCTGGCTTTGCTGCCTCATTTTTTTTTTTTTCCTCAGAGTGTGCTGGTTAAATAAAAATTTCTTCCCTTGGTCCTATCCAGCCCTCCCACTTTACCTGCAATATCCCACAGCTGAAGCCGCACTATCTCGGAGTCAGACCACTGGAGAACCTTCAGAGCAAAATCCACTGAAAATATATGCACATTATACTTTAATAAAATTTCACTGTAAAAAATGAATAGGGATAAACTCAATCAAAAAGGCAGTGACAACCCTAGGGACATATAACCAATTCCATTTGTTTATCTTTAAGCCCTCAATTCACTGAGATGAATCCACATGCATGTATTAAGTGTGAGATGGACAATTCATACTCACTTTCCAAAGGGGTTTCCAGCTTTTACTGTCTTGTTAAGCTCATTTATTTGCTAAGACTTGTCTCCAAGACTGGAGGCAAGAGTAACTAAGACGGGGGTGGGAGTAACTATGAAAACAACTCTCATTCTCAGGTTAAACAGTTTCTGGGAGATTTAGGGGGTTTTCTCAAGGAAAGGATGATGGGGGAGAAGGGGGAAATGAAATAAGCGTGGTTGCTTTTGTATTGTCCACATTCAATTTCACTGTTGGTTTCTAATCAAATTGTATTATGAGAAGAACACACCCTGGGGAACTCTACATCCACCGTAAGACTGCAGGTATTATCTTGGGCAAGAATGGAATAAATGGAAAAAGTCCCAGAGGAGTCCCAGGAAGAAGACACTGCATGGATGTTGCTGAAGAGTCCTGCTGGAATCTACCACCAAGTCTGCACGTGCTGAGACTCCTTGAGTTAAGGCTGGGTGAGTATTCCACGGGGAAAGCTTATGGATAAGGAGAGAAACAATGTAATTTCTGAGGTTTGGAAATATTATCTTTCACATCTGTGACAGGAATCAAAGCTAATGGAAATTTAGAATAAACACTGAAAAAAATTAGCCAGAGTCAATTATGTTCTTTGCTAAAGGAAAACTATAGCAATTATTAAAAATTAACTATTAATAGCAGGGTACTTTTAACTCAAATCTGTGAAATAGGGACCTTATGTTATTTAGGAGTGGGAGGGCTGAGTGGTCAAGATAGAGTGTCTGAAACTTTAAACCTTTAATTTTGCCGGACTTAAATTTCTTTGTTCTTTTGTTTTTGAGACAGTGTCTTGCTCTGTTGCCCAGGCTACAGAGCAGTCAGTGGTGTGAACAGGGCTCACTGAAGCCTTGACCTCCTGAGTTCAAGCAATCCTGTCGCCTCAGTTTCCCGAGTAGCTGGGACCACAGCTACTTTTTTCTTTAATTTTTGTAGAGGTGGGGTCTTGCCATGTTTCCCTTGGCTGGTCTCAAGCAATCCTCCTGCCTCAGCCTCCTAAAGTGCTGGGATTGCAAGTATGAACCACCTCACTGGGCCCTACTGTTTTTTTGTTTTGTTTTTTTGACACAGAGTCCTTGCTCTGTCATCCAGGCTGGAGTCCAGTAGTGTGATCTTGGTTCACTGCAACCTCCGCCTCCCAGGTTCAAGCGATTCTCCTGCCTCAGCCTCTAAGTAGCTGGGATTACAGGTGTGTGCCACCATGCCCGACTAATTTTTTTTGTACTTTTAGTAGAAATGGGGTTTCACCATGTTGGTCAGGCTGGTCTTGAACTCCTAACCTCAAATGATCTGCCCGCCTTGGCCTCCCAAAGTGCTGAGATTACAGGAGTAAACCACTATGCCCAGCCCTGCTGGGGGTTCTTAAGGAGAATGTTTCAATTGCAATGTAAATGCTTGTTAATTTCTTTTTAAACTTCCATATGAACACGAGCACACATTTTCAATTTTTCCATTAGTACAAGTTTTTCCCCCTTAAGTTATTTTAACAGAGATAAATAAAATTTTAAGTTACTCTTCCCCAGTCACCAGCTCTTCCTAGCTAAATACCTTCTAATTAACAGTAAGGCAATTCTACCTCTGAAAAAACAGTTGAGTCCAAAGGCTACGCCCGAGAAAGAAATGATGGTGTTCCCTTCCTCCCTACCTTCTCCAGTTTGAGGGGAAAAGTGGTGGGAAGACAGATCAGAGAAGTGGTATATTTCACATTCTTTGAAGACTTCTTTGGTTACCTTCATTTAAACAATCAATGGACAAAAAGTTCATCAGCCCTCATGGGCATGTGACTGCGTAGCCAAGGGGCTCGTTTGGGGATTTTGTGTCTTCCATCCCACCCACAGCCCCGTAACTGAGCTAAAGTTCTTCTGACCAGTTCTGCTTCCTGCGTTCTCCCCCAGAAGCCAGGTTAAACACCTTGCGGTTCCTTCCTCAACAGAGAGGGGCAGGACAACAGTCCCAGACAGCACCTAACCAGGAGGCCCTACAGAGGATCTCAGCTGCTTCTGCTGACTGGAGAGATTTGCCCTTGACAGCTGAAAGGCTGAGGCAGGAGACTTGAGTTCACAGTGAGCTCGCAATAAACAGCAATTGCTCATCCTCAGCCTCCCTTCCCTATTCTCATCGTCACTCCTTAGCTCTTACCTTTCTCCAGGCAGCCGGTTCAGGTTGGGAAAATCGAACTGGGGAAACCCAAGAGAGGCGTGTAAACCAAACACCCAGCAATTACACCATCCAGATTCCCAGACACTACTTCCTGGCCCGAAGAAGGACCCAACAACCGACAGCAAATCCCCATCCCACTTGGGTCTCCAGCTCGAGTCCGCGGTCCGGGCCTCTTCCGACTCCTCCCCCCAGAGACGTCTCACCTCCCACCGTGGACTTGTAGTGTTTGCTGAAGCTGTCCTGGGAATATCGCTGCACCAGCGACGTCTTGCCCACTGCGGCGTCCCCCACCACCAGCACTTTGAACAGGTGGTCGCAGCTGCCCATGGCTAGCGGAGTGTGCGTTTTAGAGAGGCGGAAAGTGGGGAAGTAGCTTGTTTTAACCCCTTTGGCTCCCGACCCTCTTCAAAGTGAAGTGAGGCATTCCCACCCACCGCCTGTGAGGGCTGCTCTGACGAGAAAGCAAAAAAGGAAACTTTGCACTCAACCTATGCGCGCTTCCTCCCCGGGCAGCCACAACCTGGGTGGGGCGCAGGGCGCGAGCTCCGTGCCCCCGGCAGTTCGCACCTTCCCCCCTACCCCCCTACCCGACTGCCGAGAAACAAGAGCAGGCGCTGCGGAACCTCACCCACCGGGACTTCCCCGGAGCGGCTCCAAGCCAGCAACTGAATCCCAGTCAGCTCATTACACCACTGGGGCCAGATGATGAGGACCCTCCCCTTGCTGCACAAACCAAATTGTGAGAAAAAGCAGCTGGCCCCTCGATTCCCTAGACCCCCTCCCGCGCCTCTCTCTCGCCTTCCTCCGCAAGCGTCACGTGCAGGGTTGCCTGGAGCACTACATTTCCCAACTATCCTCGCAGCAGAGAGAACTAGCCGAGTGCAGAGGCTCACCCGCGAAGCCTCCTGGGAAATGTAGTGTATTCATTATTTTGTTTTAAACCAACCTACACAATGTTTCAAGGCTTCAAACTCCTTCAACGGTTCGGAATCTTATTTTGAAACGGTTCTGGGTCAGTAAAGATCACTTAAGAGGAGATTTGTGCAACGTGATCTCGCTGGCCTGAATCTGTCCCCAGATAGTTTTCTCCTGTCTTTCAAGGTTTTGCGTAGTTAAGATTAAAACTTATTTCATTAATAAAAGCCCAAGCCTCGTAGATCATGCTCCAAGTGAAGTCCATTTCCTATTCCTTCAAATAGATAGACAAGCCCAGGACCTCGTGAAATTACTCATAGTTTCCGTATGAACTTGCCTAATACCAGGCAAGTTCAGGGAAACTTGACCCAAGAGACCATTCCCTGGAAAAACCTATGTCAAAAGTCACATCATTTAATATCCAGCAATAGCAATAGGCAGAAAACAGGAGACAGTCCCCATTCATACTTCTACAGTGCCTGTTCTAACCATGCTATTTATTCATGTATCATTTGAGCTGGAAGCTAATTGAAATACACTGGGAATCCTTGATTTGTTGTGGCTGTTGTTAACAGATCATCATAAAACTAGGGTTTGACAAATAATTCTAATTTCTCAGCCTGTAACTTTACTGACCTGCCTGTCATTTAGTTAGGAGTTGGCAGGACATGAGCTCAATGGCAAGCAAAGAGAGTTCCATTTTCTATACTTTTTCTAGGAATTGAGGAAGAAAGCCAGCAAGGCCATGTGAACAGCCCAGGACCAGACACTATGGAATCTTGCTTAGGTCTCTTGATAGAGAGGCTATCACTTGTGTTCTGTGGGGAAAGAACACGAGCATGGTTCACAATATATTTTGCCCAAAATGTTTGTTGCCCAGGCACAGGAGGTTAGGCCAGGCTACTCACATTTAAGGATCCAGTTTTCTCTGTTCCTATTTGCTTTGACATAGCTGACCACTCCTTTGACATTTGTTTCCCATGTGCCTTCTACGACACTGTTCTTTCTTTTTCATCCTCCTACTTCTCTGATGATTATCTTTTTCTTTGAGGTTTCTCTCCATCCCATTTCCCTCTAAGTGTTTCCTAAGGCTTGATTCTTGGTCTCTGAGTCAATCATTCTACAAACTCTTGAGTGAATTTTCCTTGGTGTGAAAGATCTATCTTCACTGTATTTGTTCTTTATCTTCAATCAGTGATATTCAGCTTCCCAAAAGATGCTTCCACTTGGATATCCTGCCACATCCTCCCTCTTATTACATCGCCACAAAAATAGCTCCTTTTCTCAGCTTCCCTACTTCTGTCACTGGACTCATCATTTCTTCCCTCGACGTAGACTTCAGATTCTGAGCATTATTATTTCATTTATACATGTCCCTTTATACTCTTGTATTTATTTATTAAATTTTTTGAGACACAGTCTCACTCTGTCATCCAGGCTGGATCTTGGCTCACTGCAACCTCTACTTCCTGGGCTCAAGTGAGTCTCCTGCCTCAGCCTCCTGAGTAGCTGCGACTACAACTGTGTGCCACCAAGCCCAACTAATTTTTGTATTTTTTGTAGGGACGGGGTTTCACCATGTTGGCCAGGCTGCTCACTGCAACCTCTGACTCCTGGGTTTAAGCGATTCTCCTGCCTTAGCCTCTCAAGTAGCTTGGATTATAGGCACCTGCCACCACGCCCGGATATTTTTTGTACTTTTAGTAGAGATGGGGTTTCACTATATTGGCCAGGCTGGTCTTGAATTCCTGACCTCAAGTGATCCGTCCACCTTGGCCTCCCAAAGTGCTGGGATTACAGACATGAGCCACTGCACCTGGCCAAGAGGTGCATTTCTTCAATACTAAATTGCAGTTCTGATTGTAGTTTTTAAGAGAGACCGTTATAAATAAGAGAGAGAGAACACACATTCAAAGTGCCAAACAATTGATTTGCATATATAGTAGGCCCTTGAACAACTCAGGAGTTAGGAGAGCCTACCTAACCTCCAGTGGAAAATTTGTGCATCACTTTTGACTACTCGAGAACTTACCTACTAATAACCTACTGTTAACTGGGAGTCTTACCAATAACATAGACAGCCATTTAATGCTTTTTTTTTGTTTGTTTTTTGAGATGGATTCTTGCTCTGTCACCCTGGCTGGAGTGCAGTGGCGCGATCCCAGCTCACTGCCACCTCCGCATCCTGGGTTCAAGTGATTCTCCTGCCTCAGCCTCCCGAGCTGCTGGAAATACAGGTGTGCACCACCATACCCAGCTACTTTTTGCATTTTTAGTAGAGACAGGGTTTCACCATATTTGGCCAGGCTGGTCCTGAACTCCTGACCTCGTGATCCACTTGCCTCCGCCTCCCAAATGCGGAGCCACCATACCCGACCTTAACACATATTTTGTATGTTATATGTATCATATACTGTATTCTTAAAATAAAGTAAGTTAGAGAAAATAAAATGTATCAAGAAAATAATAAGGAAGAAAAAATACATTTATTATTCATTAAGTGGAAGTGGTTCATCATAAAGGTCTTCATCCTTGGCATTTTCATGTTGAATAGACCAAGGAGGAAAAGGAGAAAGGTGAGGGTTTGGTCTTGCTGTTTCAGGGGTGGTAGAAGAGGAAGAAAAGCCCCGTGTAAGTGGATCTGTGCAGTTCCAACCTGTGTTGTGCAAGGGTCAACTGGTATACGTTTGGAAGCTGGAGAGAGTGGTCAGCCTTGCTCTGTTACTATCACATTTCCTGTATGTGTCTGCCTCTCTCTTTTGTACTTTTTATTTCCCATTTTTTATTTTGAAAAATTTCAAACCCATAGACAAGTTAATAGTACAATGCATACTAATATGTCCTTCAGTGGGGATTTACAAATTACTAACATTTTGCCATATATGCTTTGTCTCTTTGTGTGTGTGTTGAACTATTTGAAAGTAAGTAGCAGACACTTCAACCTTAAATACTTCAACATACAGCTCCTAATAATAAAATTCTACAAAACCAAAATACCATTATCTTTTTAAATTTTTTTTTATTTTTTGAGGCAGAGTCTTACTCTGACATCCACGCTGGAATGCAGTGGCGCCATCTCGGCTCACTGCAACATCTGCCTCTTGGGTTCAAGCAATTCTTCTGCCTAGTCCCCCAACCAGCTGGGACTACAGGTGTGTGTACCACGCTGGGATAATGTTTTGTATTTTTAATAGAGATGGGGTTTGCCATGTTGGCCAGGCTGGTATCAAACTCCTGGCCTCAAGTGATTTACCTGCCTCCGCCTCCCAAAGTGCTGGGATTATAGGTGTGAGCCCCCTCACCTGGAACAAAATACCATTATCACTTCTAAGAAAATTAACCTTAATCCAATAATATCATCTAAAAAACAGTTTACCTTTACATCTCTCTATAGCTCCCCAATATTTCTTTCTCATTTTCTCCTCACCTATCATCCAGAATACAATGAATTTTCATGCATGGGATTTGGTTATTCTATTTCTCTAGTCTCCATCTTAGGAGTATGCTATGTCCAATATAGGAGCCAGTAGCCCTGTGTGGTTACTTACGTTTAAATCATATAAATTTCGCTGGGCTTGGTGGCTCATGCCTGCAATCTCAGCTACTCAGGAGGCTAAGGCAGGAGGATGGCTGGAGGTCAGGAGTTTGAGACCAGCCTGGGCAACATAGTGAGATCTCATCTCTAAAAAATTTTTTTAAATTAATTAATTAAAACAAATAAATGTAAAGGCTGGCTCATCTGTTGCCTAGCCACACTTCAAGTGCTTAATAGCCATATTTAGCTAGCAGTTACTATGTTGAATAGCACAGACCTAAACTATTTCCATCATCACAGAAAGGTCTATTGGATGGTACTGTCTCTAACAGTCTGCCCTTTTTTTAAACTTTCTATAACATTGACTTTCTTTTTAGTGTCCATGCCAGTTGTCCTGTAGAAAGTCTCATATCCTGGATTGTCTGTTTGTTTCCTCAAGATTAGATGTAAAAAACATTTTGGACAAGAGCCCCCCACAGAGGATGTGGTATACTTGTTAGCATGTTGCTGATGTCAGGTAGTTATTGGCAATGCTTACACTATGAATTCAATAAACACTTGCTGAAGAAATGATCTGGTGCCAGGCAGTCTCCTAAGGACTTGGGAGCTTGACTTCAAATAGAAGAGAGACAGCTTATATAATCTCCAGAGCCTCCACCACTGTCCTTGGAGCAGAATGGAAAAATGCTTTGTAACATGAAGGGAAGACTGAAGTGACACAGCAAACGGCCCAGCAGTGCAGAGGAGAGGGACAGATCCAGAGAAGGGTGAGGCCAGGAGGCTGCAGCTTTTCCTCAGTCCCAACCTCCAGACTCACTTCAATGATAATAACTTTTCGCGATTCCTTTGGGGAGGGGCAGGCAGCTTGGTGAAATGCCTGTGACCCAGCTGAGCATTCAGCCGGAAGACTTCGCAGCAAGGTGCCCAAGGAAACCCTCAGGACAGAGAGGCTGGCAAGTTCAAAGGGCAGCCTGCCAGTCATTCCTCTGCCGGCCCGTGCCAAGGATCTAGGCTAGATTTGGGCCTGGGGGTATCCAGGGAAAACACTGAATTATAATTTCCACGGCATGGGTTGCCACATTTGCCTCCTTCTGTGGCTATCCTCCTTCTACCCCAAATAAAGGCCAGGGAAAGAAGACAGCAAAAAAGTGAAAACTAAAGAAAAAAACTTTGTTTTAAAGAATTGGTTGTGTGGTCCCAACTGTCAATATGGCGCTGGGAAAGTCTAATCTGTGAAACAAAAAAAAGTTCCCTTCCAACACGGACATGACTGTTCTATTTTCCTGTTATTTCAACTCTCTAGGGGGTGAGGAA